GGTGGCCCTGTATGAAGAGGGATGTTGCATGGATCGTTGAGAGGTGCTTGACCTGTCGCAGGGTTAAGGCCGAGCACCAGCATCCACATGGTAAGCTGCAGCCGTTAGAAATTCCCGAGTGGAAGTGTGAATATATTACCATGGACTTCATCACCAAATTACCAAGAACTGCGAGGGGTGTCGATGAAATTTGGGTGATTGCGGACAGGTTGACGAAGAGTGCTCACTTACTTGCTATTAGTGAGAGCTCTTCTGTGGAGAGGCTGGTAGAGTTGTACGTGAGAGATGTGGTATCGCAGAATGGAATACCAGTCTCGATTGTTTCAGATCGAGATGTGCTTTTCACTTCCAGGTTATAGAAGAAGTTTCATGAGGAATTGGGTATGAGGTTGCATTTTAGTACCACATACCACCCACAGACTAAAGGGCAGAGCGAGCGGACGATTCAGACGCTCGAGGACATGCTTCGGGCATGTGTATTGGACTTCGGAGGAAGTTGGGGCACGTACTTACCCTTGGTTGAGTTTTCCTATAACAACAACCATCATTTGAACATCGGTATGCCACCCTTTGAGTTGTTGTATAGGGGGAGGTATCGGACCCCCATTTGTTGGGGAGAGGTAGGGCAATGTGTGATGGGTAGTACCGAGATTGTGCCTCAGACGATCGAGCAGATTCAGCAGGTCAGACAGAGGATACTGACGGCCCAGAGTCGTCAGAAGAGTTATGCGGATAGAAGACGGTCAGAGCTCGAGTTCCAAGTCGGTGACTTCGTACTCCTGAAGGTATCTCATTGGAAAGGAGTGATCCGATTCAGGAAGAGAGGCAAGTTGGGGCCTCGGTATATTAGCCCTTTTAGGGTGACCGCCAAGGTGGGCAGGGTAGCGTACTGCTTAGAGCTACCTGTAGAGTTGGGCCAGATTCATGACACCTTTCACGTATCGCAGCTGAGGAAGTGTATTGCCGACGAGTCAGTTGTGGTACCATTAGAGGATATTCAGGTGAATGTGAGCCTAAACTATGTTGAGAGACCGGTTGTGATTAGGGATCGGAAGATCAAGGTTCTGAGAAACAAGGAGGTGCCTCTGGTGCAGGTCCATGGGGGGCATCGGAAAGGGTCCGAGCTAACTTGGGATCCGGAGCGAGAGATGCGTGAGCAGTGTCCAGGGCTATTTGCAGAGCGAGAATTCAAGGATGAAGTCTAATTCTAGTGGGAGAATTGTAACATCCGGGTTTCCAGGTATATTATTTATTTATTATTTTTGGAGATTTTGAGAAAGACTCGGCGAGTTGATCCTTAGACTCGCCGAGTAGAGTCGCGAATTTCCATTCGGGTTAATGATCGGACTCGCCGAGGACTCGGCGAGTCCGCGCCGTTTAATGAAACCCTAATTTCCGGGGTTTGAGACCTATTTAAAGGCCCTTATTTCCTTCATTTGCAGCTACCAGTTGATATATATATAGAGAGAGAGAGAGACCAGAGTGTGTGAGCGTTTTGAGAAAGAAAGGAAGCCATTTTTAATCCTTGTGTGGGTGATTTTGCAAGAAGAAGGTGACCAAGGCAAGTGGAAGCTGAAGAGGGAGCTAATATGTGGATTTCAGAGCTTAAGGACTTCATCTTGAGGTACATATTCGATCCGTCTTCAGTTTTTGGTGTTAATCCTTGAGAGTTAGGGTTTCTAGCCCATTTAGAGTATGGTTGTTAGTGCAATTGGTCCCTTCTTGTGTTAAGGCTTCGAAAATGGATCCATAGAGGTCCAGAGACCTTAAATCCTTGATCTTTATTGAGTGTCTTGGAGAGATATGAGTTTTGGATGGCATATTGAGGTTATTTCTTCAAATAGAGCCATTGGGTCTTTGCATGGGCATCAAGATCCAAACTTTATGTGTTTTTATTGCTTTATGAGGCCAGATCTATGAGTTAGAGGAACGGATCTGACCACAGGAGCTCATTTGAGCTCGAGCATGGCATGAACTCGTCGAGTCCTAAGAACAGACTCGACGAGTAGGGATAGGGTTTCCCGTAAGTCACTCAGTGAGTAACTTGTCGAGTTGGCGAAATGACTCGGTGAGTCAGAAGGGGGGTAGAGGATTATAGGTGGAACTCGCCGAGTTCATATTTGAACTCAACGAGCTGAGTCGGGGTGGTCCCACGATTCTTGCCAGGTGTAACCCGTCGAGCAGGGGGAAGGCTCAACGTGTCATGAGAGGCTAGAGAGATAGTGGACACGTGTAGACTCGCTGAGTCGCCCAAGTGCACTCGACGAGTCAGGTCAAAGTTTGACCGTTGACTTTTTGACTTTTAGGGATTGGTCAACAATGGGGTCTTTGAGTCAAGATAGGGGTAAAATGGTCTTTTACCCATCTGAGGGTGCTACGAGAAGGTTGGGTCTAGTCTCGAGAGTTATATTTATGAGCGTATTATACTTTATGTGATTAGGTGGAGGCTAGACTATACTGCTACCGAGTCAGGGATTTATCGAGACATCTGAGGTGAGTCTTCTCACTATACTTTACCTTGAGTGGTAATTAGAGTTATGTGACAGAGTTACTGTATGCTATTTCTATGATGTGTTGCACTGCATTATTGCTATGTGATTTATGCCATGTGTATATCAGAGTATAACAGAGTTAGAACCGGAAGGTTCACAGAGCTAGGACCATAGGGTCCACAGAGTTAGGGCCTAAGAGCACACAGAGTTATAGCCTCGAGTGGCTAGTATGTGTTATGTGTGGTATTTTGGGGAACTCACTAAGCTTTATGCTTACAGTGTTATGTGTTATGTGTTTCAGGTACCAGTGATGATCGTGGGAAGGCGCCGGCATGATCTGTACACACACCCGTGGAGTTTATTATGATTTGATCTTGGGAAATGTTTTATGAACAATGATACGATACAATGAGATTTTATTAATGAATGTGTTTGGAAAATGTGTTTTGAAAATGTGAAAAGTTGTCTTAATTTTTACCATGTTACAAGCCGGTTTTTAGAAAAACCAGTCGAATCGGTCAAAATAAACCGGGTAAACCAAATAAAAACACATGAAAAAGAGTCATTTACATAATAAACTTTGATGATTATTTTTCAAATCTATTTAGTTTTCTGTAAATAAAAACATATGACAAATGTTATATAGTTTTTTGATGTGTTTATATTCATCTAAAACCAATGTTCTAAAAAGCTCGACATGGCTCCGCTCCACAATGTCACGTTATGGCTTCAAAGCTTGTACTTGTCGTCAAGCTTTGATAAAATGTTGCCTTAAGTCACATATATGTATAAAAAATGAATAACATTAGAAAATCCTTTCTTCTTCTTCTTCTTCTTTTTCTTGTATCAATCATTTTCATAAAAATCTAAAAGCAACTGTCATATACACTCAAGCCATCAAGAAAGATCCTTCTAACCCTACGCTTTACAGGTAACGGTTACGTCCTTGATCTCTGTTACATACCTGCGAGTTTAATTCTGATGTAAGTATCATTTTCACCAGCTCATTCCTCCCTTTTGTGCTAATTTATTTAAAACTTCAAATTAACTACAAATTCATTTATTTCCAATGTTTCTCTAATCTCTGTTGCATCCCTTTATGTTGATTTTTCACAAACTCGTTAGTCCTCGAAAATGTCATCTTCTTCAAGCATCAGGAGCATCAGAAGTAGAAGGGTAGTAAGGAACGATGGAGTAGAATTATGCAAGTGTGAGGAAGAAGGTCCTTTGTTTACATCATGGACTACAAAGGATCATGGTAGAAGGTTTCATGGATGTCCAAATTACAAGTTAAGAGGTTTGTAAATGTTTACCAAAAAGATTGTGTGACATTGGAATCATCACCATTGCCATAAGTATGTAAATGTTGCTTCTTTTGTAGGATGAAAGTTTGGGTTGCAAGTATTTCATGTTATTTGATGATGAACCAACAATTTGAAGGTATAAGGATCTATTCTTCAATGTGCACCATGATATGAAAGATATAGAAGATGAGATCAAACAATTAAACTTCAAGTTGAAGAAAAAAGCATGTTTGGAGTGTGAAGACAGAAGAGTGAGGTATGAAGAACAATAGTTGAATTTTGAAGCACAAAATTCGAAGTTTGAAGAACTAAAATTGAAGTATGAAGATGTAAAGTTATGTAATGTAAAGTATGTTAGGATTGTTGTACTCTTGGTAGTTGTGTTGACATTGGTCATCTTATGGTTGTGTTACTTTTGATGAATTAAGTTATGTTAGGGTTATATTTTGTATGACAAGATAGTTAGTTATGTTTTGTATGGCAATATAGTTATCTTATCATTGATGAACGTATGTTTCTTAAAACAAATAATGTAAGTATGTTTCTATAAGTACTCTTCTATATATGTTATTTTTAGTCTCCAAATTTTTAACCCTTTAAAGGTTACACTACAAGAACTCAACATTTTTGTCCTTGTTGATTAATGGAACGAGCAAAAAAATTCGTTCCAATGGAATGATAAATTCCATTCCTTCTTAAATTTGTTCTATGGTATTGAATGATAGCCTTTCTCTTCAAGTTTGTTGGTTTATTTTGCATCTTGTTCTCAAGCCAATGTAATTTGTTTTATATTCTTTTTACTATTAGTCTCTTACTAATCCCTTTATATATATTCAAAAAAAATGTCTAAACTTGCCAAATAAATAATACATAGTACCTTCTTTGTAATCTTAGAGAACTAGTCTATTATATATATATATATATATATATATATATATATATATATATATATATATATATATATATATATATATATGTGTGTGTGTGTGTGTGTGTGTGTGTGTGAGCACTCAATAGAGAAAAAAAAAAAGGTTGAAGAAGGAATAAATTTGGGCCACACATATCGAATTTGCCATTTAAACGATCCAACGTACCGGATCGACGAAACATATCATATATATATATATATATATATATATATATATATATATATATATATATATATATATAACAGAAATTATTATTTATATATAAATATGGTGATGGTGGGTTGTGGCGGAGGTGGCGGTTATTAATGGTGGTGGTTGGTTGTGGAGGTGGTGGTGGTGGTGGCAGTAGTGGTTGGTGGCGGTGGTGATGGTGGTTGGTGGTGGAGGGAGGTGGTGTATTCATAGATGAATACATTTATAAACAGAAACACCACATGGGGAGAGATGCTAACAAAATACAAACGAGACCTTAATTTATAATGAGTTATGCAAGCATTCATTTGCAGTTCAACACAAGTTGCAACGTGCTTCATTATTATCATATACTATACATCGTACGTAGATCATATCAAAGTAGAAAGAAATGACAATATTTACCCGAAAAGACTAGAAAAGTAAAAGGGTTGGTTAACCATCCCCAATCTTGCCATGAAAACAAGCAAATATGGGAGGATGGGAGTTTTAAGGAACAAACTATTGAACAAAGCTTATTTGTTCATCGATTTGGTACTAGTTCTTGCTTAGGTAAGTTGGGAAAGTAGAAGTTGCAGGAGGTTCTTCAAAGGTTTCCTTCCCTTTTCACAAACCTCCCTTTCATTCTTGGCCTTTTCTCAGCATTTAGTTTCCTCACTTCGTATCTTATCTTCTTCGAAAATAATCTTGTCCTTCTTTTCTCTTTATACCTTGACACTCTTGCCTCTCTTCCTCCATCGCTTCCTCCTAAGCCTCCACATAAAGGAGTATTATTCCCCATCCATTGCAAACCCTAAAAGATTATAATACTTCTCGATCAGAATACTATGTTATAAAACAAATTAATAAACGAAGGAATAGAGAGATTCAAAGAGAGATATAGACAAAGAAAGAACCATGAAATCAGGCCAGCAACCATCAAGATTGAGTTCTGGTCGGGTTCCGTTTGTCCATGGAGATCCTTGATCAGCCCATGCACTGATCACTTCATCGTAATTAAGCCTCAAAGTTATGCTTGATTTTCTCACCATTGCTTCTTTACATTCATCATTTGACACCATCATCATATGTTCTTTTACGCCTACCACCACTTTCTTCTCCTCCTCTTTTATCATCATCGTGGATTCATGACCGAAGTCCCAATCTAGTGTTTCCCTAGTTGTATCCAAATCAAAACCTAAAATTGCTTCTCTTTCATCATCTTCAACTTTCACCCTATTTTCGTCGAAGCAAGTTCCTATAATAATGTTAGTATTATCTTCATCCTTAAAATCATAATTAGTTAACCCCAATTCTTCAATCCTACACGATGTATCATCATAACCCTTCCCTAATAAGCTTTCAACATCGGCAGCAAATTCCAGTAGCTCCATATCATCAGTTGGCAGATCAAACCCTTGAAGGTCATCCAAATCACATGTCTCTTCTTGTTTGTTTTCCACTACAAAAGTCAAGCTCCTGCCTATTGCATCAGAAGTATTAAATAATTCAGTTTCAAAAGGATCAAAGACAGGCACACGATACAATAGTTCTTCTTCCTCTTCTTCTTCATCAAGTGATGATGGGTCTAAAACGCCTATTTCCGGAACTAAGGGAGCAGAAGAGTTCACTACATCGCTCTTTCTATCTAGTTTGAGAGAGGATTTAGTCCGGAGTCGTGGGGTGCGTGCACGACGGGTGAGACCTTGGTGCCAGGTTGGTTCAGGCGAAGCAATGCCTGACCCAAAGAGCTTAGAGGAAGCAGTCTCGAGAAGGACCCTCTCATGCCGACCAGCCAACTGATTAGCCGAGTGTACTGAGGCATCACAGCTTTGGCAAAGGAAAGCGTCATCAGCAGCACAATACCATCTCGCCCGCTTTCGTACGCAGCTGTCGCAAGCCCTTGCTGTCTTGCCACCAACAGCGTTGGCTGTTTTCTTTCCGGCTATCATGTTCGAGGGTTTGATCTTCCAAACGACCAAAGAGAAGAGAGGAAAACGAAAAGGAGAAAAGAAGAAGAAACAATGTTATAGATCTTGTGTTAATCATATACCAAAAGAGTCAGAAGTGTAGCACAACAGCTGTTGGTAGGGAAGCATTGCATGTATATACAAGAACACTGTTGGCTACAATTATTGTAGTGCTGGTCCCCAAAACTCACGACTTGTGATTACGCGACTCGAGTGGTCATCTGTAGCTTTGGTGGGGTCCAAAAAGAAGGGAAATTTAGGGATTAGGGTTTATGGGCCTACGGCATGGTCTTATCAGTTGCTGATTCGTTGAGTGATTAGAGTGATCTTAGGGTTTGCTTTCTGATTGGTGAACCTCTTTCTGAAGGATTCTTTGTAGGTCCATTTGCATGTGGGTTAGCATGGTCTTTCAATTCCCATGGGTCTTGAACACAAAGTTTGGTTTTATGGAAGTAAAATTGGACCCTATATATATAACATTTGAAATTTTATTTTAATAGATATTTGGTAAAAAGAAAACTAACCGATGTTAAATTTAAAGATTCATGATTTTTCATCATGAAATTATTGCTCATCAATTTTCATTTGTTTGTTAAAAAGCCATATTGCAGGTATGTCATTAAAAAATTCATTGTCTATATTGTAACTATGATGTTATTATAGGTAAGAAATGTAATTAACGATGTTTCTGTTTTGCGTAACGTAAAGATTGGAAGTACTTAAATACTTAAATCACTTAAATATCTTGACACCAACTATAACCTTTGGAAACACATAATTCAATTTTTCACCCCAATAAAACGTTTATGTTTACATTCCGGATAAATAAATAAAAACTTACAATCCTCGAAGCATAACATTAACCCTTAATAAATGTAAAAATAATAATAATAATAATAATAATAATAATAATAATAATAATAATAAAATGCATAACGTACTAATTTCAACTTAGGTCGTTAGGAGTACCGCTTACAAACCATAAACCACTTTACCCACATTCAACCACGAACACGATCCATGATAGACCACCGAGGTGGTATTCACCTTCGTGGTTCACGTGAAGAACCAAGAGCCTTTGTGGAGGGTACCACAAAAATAAATCATTTCATATTGCATTTCACTAATGATGATCTAATTAATAGGTAATTAACAAAAAAAATTCAAAAGAAAACAGAAAACCCGATTTCGATTATATATATATATATATATATATATATATATATATATATATATATATATATATATATATATATATATATATATATATATATATATAATAGTTTACAAACTGTGTCAACCATGGTTACAAAATTAATTAAACTTTCATTGTAAAAACTCTAAATTATTAATCAATTATTTTAAATAAATTATCAATTAAAAAATATATTTTTAATTATATAAAATTATAATGGTTGATTCAAATAAATACGTGAAATTATATCACCTTATAATATGTATTAATTCTATTTTATTTTTTATTCTAATGTTATTAATTGAATAGAATTAAAGTGGAAATTTAAAATTTAAAATTTAAAATAGAAAATTAATAAGTTGAAAAATAGTATCAAATTAGTTATAATGTCTAATAGGATGATATATATATATATATATATATATATATATATATATATATATATATATATATATATATATATATGTGTGTGTGTGTGTGCGCGCGCGCGCGCGCCTGATGTAGATTCTATTTAAAAAAAATGAAAAATAGAGTTTTTAAGAAATGTTTGTATTCAAATATAACTACTCGTCAATCTTATATGAATAATCAAAAGGGAAATAATAATCATATATGATTTATATATGCATGTGTCTAATCCATTTTTATTACATTATATATAATTATTCAAATGTGTTTATTCCCTTTTATATATATATATATATATAATATATATATATATATATATATATATATATATATATATATATATATATATATCAATTAATCGTATATATAAACAAGAAAAATATCAAGATCTCTACTATTTTAATAATATCAAGTGAACCTTAATATTATATATATATATATATATATATATATATATATATATATATATATATATATATATATATATATATATATATGGAAAAGTGAATATAGTATATTCACTTTTCCCTATATATCTTAAAAGTAAATCAAGTTAAGGATTGAAGTTTAACAAAATTATAATGAATATATATCAAACAAAACAACATATTATGGTGAGTTTGAGTACCTAAACTTATATACCCTTAATGGTATATTCAATATACCATTAAGGGTATATAAGCTTAGGTACTCAAACTCACCATAATATGTTGTTTTGTTTGATATATTCATTATAATTTTGTTAAACTTCAATCCTTAACTTGATTTACTTTTAAGATTTTCGAAATTTCACTATTATCTTCCTTTTACATCACATATTTTTATCAAACACCTACTAAGCTATATATATTATAGCTAAAAATGGAAATTATGTAAAAGGAAGTGTGAAGTTTATAAAAATCATGGAAGTATATCAAGTTAAAAGTTGAATTTTAAGTACATTAGACAAGGACTAATATCATAAAAGCCCTAAATTTTTAACGCGTAATTAGAAAAAGCCCTAATATTTTTTATTTTTGTTTTGGCGATAACTTTCTTGCAGAATTATCACTATAGCCCACTTAACGAGTTTTATGGTTAACTTGGTTAACTTATTACAAAATCAGTCCTAAAAAGTTCAAATTTGGTCCTTGTGGTTTGCAAAAAAATACACCACATGGTTTTTTAACTTTATTTTCGTTTTTTGTATACTTTATTTATTTTCGGTTTTTTAATAAATATATATGCATTTTGTATTTTCTTTTTTATATACTTTGTTTATTTTCATTTTTTAACTTTTTTTTCAACAATTTGATTTTTTTATCTTTTTACCTTTTGTTTTATATTTTTTCCCTATTTTAGTTATTTATGGTTTTTCTAATGTTTTTATTTACTTTGATTCAAGTAAACGAACTTGAATTCAATAAAAATTACTATTACAAGTTTTTTTATAGAGACCGACTATTATTTGTTTTTTCATAATCTATTATCAAATTGAAAAATATTTTCTTGAATTTAATCGATTGATATCACATATAGAAATATGATTTAATCTGCATGTTATATAACACATTGAATAAAAAAAAGAATAAAAAGAAAATAAGTTGGATCGAAATTACAAATATAAACATAACTATTTTATTTATTTGAAAAAAAAATTATAAAAACTATTAATTATCAAAAAATTTATATACTCTCATATGTTAATACATTTTATATTTTTTGAAAAATGTTAATAAAATGATAAAAAAAACAAAAACAAATAATTGGAAAACAAATAAAAATAATAAAAATAATAAAACGATGAAAAAATTAAAATATAATACGAAAAAAAAACATGAAAAAACAAAAAAAAAAAAAAAAAAAAAAAAACTCTAATATACTCTATATATAGTTATATACACTCAAAATAGAAAACAAAAGGAAAAAAATTTAAAAACAAAAATAACAATAAAACAATTGTTGAAAAATAAAGCTAAAAAATGAAAATAAATAAAGTATATATATATATATATATATATATATATATATATATATATATATATATATATATATATATATATATATATATGTAAAGAAAATAAAAAATGTACATATATTTATAAAAACCTAAAATAAATAAAATATACAAGAAATGAAAAATAAAGTTAAAAAACCATGTGGTGTATTTTTTTGCAAACCTTAAGGATTAAATTTGAACTTTTTAGTACTAATTTTGCAAAAAAGTTAATCAACTTAACCATGAAATTCGTTAAGTGGGCTAGAGTGAAAAAAGTTGTAGCTATAATAATAATAATAATAATAATAATAATAATAATAATAATAATAATAATAATAATAAATATTATGGCTTTTTCCAATTGCACGTTAAAAATTTAGGGTTTTTATAATATTAGTCTCATTGGACAATTACAATGTATATATATGATACAAAAAGATGTACTTTTGTGAGTTTGGGTACCTAAACTTATATATCATCAAGTGTATATTTTCATGTGTGTTTATTAAACTTAAATGGTTTATTAAACTTAAATGGTTCACCCCGATTTTAAGTATTCAATTGGGTTTTAACGGTTCAATCAAGTTTTTAGTAAATTGGTCGATATTTTTTTTTTTTTTGTCCAGAAATAAACAAAAGAAACAGTGCTCGTTGAACCACTCCCTATCTTGGTTTCCGGCCAAATTGGTTCAAACCTATTTTTAAAACATTTGTTAAAAGCAACAGAAATTGAGAAAATGCGAAAGGGATCCATTATGCAATCTCCACTTCTCTGACCCATGTGTATGAAGCGCTAACCAATGAACCAACTTTTAGTTATCATTAAACTTTGTCATACAACACTTCGGCTAAACGGTTTCATACAATTTTTTGCCTGCTGCAATCATCAATGACACACTTTTGCCGATTTCTTTCTCTTCATTTGTTGTTCAAATTCATTCTCTCTCCCTCCTCATCTGCCCTCTTTTGTCTTCAACAGCCTCAATCAAAAGTGACAAAAATGTCAAAAATGTCATATTCACCTTATGCTTATATGGAGTATGGTGCCATCAGCACCACATCATTCCATTTTATAAAATAAAAATATATGATATTAAAATGTAACAAAAACAAGTAATTATATATATTTATAATACGTACATTTTTAGAATTCGTTTTATTTTACAGAACTTTATTATTATTTTCATGATATAGTTTCTGTAGAACTAATATATTAAATTAAATCTGTAAAACCAATAATAATGTTTTCATATATCAATCTTACCAATCCAACATGTTATAACTCATACTTTAAAACTATTTTACAACTATGTATATTAGCCCAAACTCGTAATCCGGCCCATTTAACCCATTTTTATGGCTACAGACTCTACATCTATCAATTTTAGTCAATTCCAATATGTACGGCTTAATCTCATGTAGTTGCTTGACTTTATCGACCCAGATCATCTTTTTATCGACCCTAACCATTAGTGGTCCTCTTATGTTGTTTTCATACACAATGAGTTATTCGTCTCCACTTATGCATTGGTGGACGCCAACCTTTGCAAGATCATGGCCTTAAAATGGTTATAATACACATGGACCCACTCTTATGAACGTGACATCATAAAATAACAAGATACGAATATGACATTTTGGCAAATAGAGCAAAACAACAAAAAATTCAAAATAAATTTCAAATGTATTTTGGAATAATAATGTTTATGGCTTCAACAATCGATATACGAGTTGATACGGAGAGATCTTGTATTGAAAAACAAACGAATCTTATGGAAGTTCACAAAATCCTTTGGAGATATGGACCTCAAAACCCATTGAATACAATTCCACAGTTGTTTTCTTGTAAGAAAAAAATTCTCAAAATACCCTTTTTAACCCTAGAATTTT